TGGAAATGGGATTAGTGCTGATCATGCCAGAAAAGTGCCTGGTGGGGCGCAGGATGAGGGACCAGACTTGGGGCACTGTGCAGGGGGATGAGGATTTTGCTGGTTGTGCTGGGCCAGCCCTGCCAGTGGGAACAGGAGGGGCAACAGGGTGATGGGTTTTTGGGGTATGAGGCTGATCTCCCCTCCCAGGAATAAATATTCCTCCCCTGCCAATGAAAGGGACTCCACAGATCTGTTCAAAACAGTTTATTGTATTTTTTCGTCAGACAAACACATTGATTTCTGGACCACAGTAGAGGATGGAAACCTTTCACAAACTTATTTATTTGAAAATACAAATATAAAATTATACTTTCCACATCTGTGATGTGAGAGACCCCCATCCACATAGTATTTTACAACAGGGCTTCAGAAAGCCATACACAGAGACCTGAAAGATGCTTGATATATATAGATACATATATATATGTATATATATAAAAAAAAAGTCACTACCAAAGTTCTCATCAGTTCATACTAAAGTATAAAAGGAAGGGCTAGGCCTGCCACTGTGCCATAGTTTATTTAGGTACATTTATGACCACCTGAAATGCTCACTTGCATCCTAGTACTGATGGAGTTCAGACCTCGTACAACAGAGAATGACGGGGGGTTTTGCTACCTACGACGGTCGACGCGACAGACGAGCCCACGGGTGGTGTGACGGGACGGCCCCGCGCCGGGGCCCGCCCTGCTCGGACACGGAGCTCTCGACACAACACAGTCGGACTTTGTTTGGGGGGGACCGAGAACCGACCACGAGGATTTCACTTTCTCCAACTAACTCCTTTTTTTTTTTTTTTTTTTTTTTTTTTTTTTTTTTTTTTTTTGTTTTTTTTTTTTTTTTTTTTTGGTAATTTTTATTACAGTATTAAAGTATTGCTTAGCTTACAGAATCTCCTCACGTAGTGTTCGCACGCGGCAACGGGTTGGACTGGATTCTGTACGTAGGAAACTCTACAGTGTCTGTGCGCAGACCGGGATCTGCCGGTGTGTCTTCGATGCATCCTGTCTCTTCGCCTTAACTCTAACCTCAGTTTTTCCTCTCTTTTGAACTATTTCGCTTAAAAAAACAAACCAAACCACTAAAAAAAAGAATTCAGAAGATTCCACCCAAGAGACATCGCCATAGCATAAAAGACAGCTATGAGTTAGTGTTGGTTTTCGTTTTTGTAAACAGTTTCATATGCAATATCATACAGAACCATGGCTGGCCTTCAGTAAAAATGTAGTAAACTATATTGCTTTATTATTGATTATGTTGCATTGAGTGAATGGCAGAAACGAAACAAGAAGGGACTGTGGCTGGAGTCGCTAGCCCTCATTCACACTATGGATGAAAGCAGCATCCCAGGCTGCCGAGCAGGGAAGAAAAGAAATCCCAACACCTTTCAGGTCGTTATCACCCACAATTACCTAATGGTTTAACTAAGCCTAGCAAGATGTGTGACATTCACCAGCAGATGCTGCTGTACAATGGAAAAAAATTAACTTACAGCAAAGAGAGCCATGCTACCTTAAAGTCCAAGCTACAAATTCAACTCAAAATGAACATTTAGGAAGTATAAGAAAAATTGAAAACCCCAAAGGACAGATCAGGCTTAGTTTTAATCAAGCTGATCCCAAAGGACTTGGATTACTTGACAGGGGAGGGTCCCCGAGGTCTTGTGGCTCCTGTAAAATGTCCCTGGTGTTTGGGACACGGCCCGTCCCACGGCACAGCCGGGCAGGGATGGACCCGCTGGCACTCTGGGTGCCCAGGTCCCCCAGCAGGGTGGAAATCTCTCTTTTTGGTCATTCTGGGGGCAGCGGGTCTGTGTGAGAGATTTGGAAAGCAAAGGGCAATATCCCTCAGAATGAGGGATGCCCACAGAGGTTGTGGACTCCCCATCCCTGGAGGTGTCCAAGGCCAGGTTGGACGGGGCTTGGAGCAACCTGGTCCAGTGGAAGGTGACCCTGCCCATGGCAGGGGGTGGAACTGGATGGTCTTTAAGGTCCCTTCAGCCCAAACCAGTTCATGATTCCATGATCCTTCACTTGCTGGGCTTGAGTAAAACAAAGGTGGAGCTGAACCTTTGTGCTGAAAAAAATTACAAAAAACCCCCAAACAAATGAAGAAAAAGAAAAGAGAAAAACAATCCTTCCAAATGGATTTCTAGATGAGTGGGGGACTAACGTGAACCTTAGTCTAGGTAGCCACATCAAAACATCTCGGATTCCACGACATTTGTGCTATGGGCCACTGGGACTTCTCAAAAGGTATATAAACATCTAAAACATATTCACACAGATTAGCAATTTCTTCTGAGCATTCTTAAAAAAATATGTTTTTTTTTTTCTCTTAGTAAAATCGTTTTAATATACCGTGCCTCCCTCTTTTAAAAAATAAATTAAAAAAATCCAGTTTTGCATATCTAGCATTAGCATTTAAGGTAGTATGGCACATCCCCTATCCAAAGTCAAGGGTGGGGATCTACAAATGCCTTAGGAGTTTGCCAGCATTTTTAACATTGTGAGACCTTTGGTTAGTTGAAACCGCATCAGATCAGCAAAAGAAAAATAATAAACAAGAGGAAAAAAATAAAAACCAGAAAGAAAAGAGAAAAGAAAAAAAAAAAAAGGAAAACCTTCCCAAAATTATTAGCTTTTTTTTTTTTCTTAAATAAGAGAAAGTTCTATCCTTACTGGTCCTAAATCTGAATAACTACATCTAAATTTTTAACCTTAATTACGATACACCTACCAATATGTACTAGAAGAGGAAGAGAGAAAGAGGGGGGGAAGAATTCACTACACTAGCATCAGGACAGCACTCTTACAAGATAAGCCATTTTATACACTATTAACATACAACAATGATCAACAAAGAATATTCTATGAGGTGACAGGGAATGGAGAGGAAAACCAACTGGTAGTACAGTACATCATCAACATTGACAAAATAGCAATAAAAAATTCCCTGACGGCACATTGAATCACAGGGAATTTGGTTCGTCCGTGTTCTTTTTTTTTTTTTTTTTTTTTTAGCGTTTTTATTTTTTAAAGAATCGTTTTATTTCTTTTATTACTTGATCAAGTCTCAATATTTAAAAAGCGTCCAGCATTTTGCTTAAACCTGGTTGTTCTGAAATAAGAAAAAAACCTAAAATATTACATAAAAAGCATGATTTTTTTTTTTTTAAAAACAAGAAAAACAAGGTTTTCTCCTTTCGGTTAGCAGTATGGTGCCTTGTTTTTGTTAAAGATGCCTTGCTCTACCTTGTCTATTGAATGTCTACATTAGTCTACTTGTTAGTAAAATTTACAAAAATAGGAGTGCAGCAGCTCTTTTTAACAAATGTCGCATTCAGTGTCTTATACTGGCTGTACCTAAAGTACCAAATTTATAAACGTAACAATTTAAAAAAATATTAATAAAACTTGTCAATATTATGTTAAAAAAAGAAGAAATATATCCACACTACAGTATGTTCTTAATGCCACCTACCATGTTGTACTTCTAGTTTGCTGTTGCAGGCCTATTTACCAATATTAAAAAAATTAAATTAAAAAATATCCTTCATAAGTTTCCTCCCCCAACAGAGGACCATATATATAACAGCCAAATATTAAACATGTGCAAATAGGAAACTGTCAGTTTTTCCCCTACCAGTCACAGTGCAATGATGTTTTATACTTTATTTCTTTTAAATTCTGTTTACAACTACAATAAATTAAAATCTTCCGTTGCTTCTAGGGTGAAACTTGTAGCACTGAGGTATTCCCAAAAAAAAAAAAAAAAAAAAAAAAAAAAAAAAAAAAAAAAAAAAAAAAAAAAAAAAAAATAGAAATCAAAACCAACCGAAGTTGCCTTCCTAATTTGTTGATACAGAAAGTGATGGATAATAAAGGAAACCATGTGAGCTGGACACCGCTCTGCCCGCAGCAGGGACGACCCCGGGCTGTGCAGGGTGCCCAGAGCAGCTGAAATGACTGGACAGCAAGTTTGATCTAGTTTAAAACAATGACTGAAAAATAAAATAAAAAAAAAACCAAAACCAAAATAAAGGTGTGCTTTGAACCGTAAATACGTTAAGTAGGAAAAATCGTAGCTTCTTGATCAGTCTTGGGAAAAAGCAGGTTTTAAATTAAAATAAAAAATACCACTAGACTGTTCCTTTGTAAGCTGTGCACGTCTGAGAGCGAAGCTGCTGGTTTTGAACTGGGAGAGCTGGGAGGGTCCCACAGCCTCACGACCTACCCCGGGCCAGCTCCGGCAGTCGCTCCAAAAGGCTACAACGTCCTTGTCTTTTTTTTCTTCCATTTTCATAGAGAAACTGCCTTAGGCTGACTCCATCACAAAAATAGGTTTTGTATTTCTCTTTCTTAATAGTTTCTATGTAGTTAATGGAATTGTATTTACAGCATTTTATTATTTTTCTTTTTTTTTTTTTTTTCAGAATTCACAATTTTCAAAAAACCTTATATCACCTCTTTCAACAAAAAAAAGCACTTATAGAAAAAAAGGACGCGCAAAAAGTTTGTCGCCCTCGCCTTATTGCCGAAAATAGAGAGAATTAGAGTTAACGAAGACGCCACAAAGGAAAAGAAGGGCTAGAGAACCTGTTGCTCACCCCCCTCGTGCCCCACCGGCCCCCCCCGTGCCGTGCCCACCGCCGGCTCCGCTCCCCCCGCGGCGGCGGCAGAGCCGGGACCGGCGGCTGAGACTCCTGTCACCATCTCAGCATCCTTTAAGCAACAACAACTGCGTAAAACAGGGGAGGAGGGGGGGGAGGTGGGAAAGAAAAACCAAAGAAACCCCTTAATATAACAGTTACACTATGGTTAGGCTTCGCTAGATACACAAAGAATTCCAACTACGTGGCTACGAGACTATGTCAAAGGCTACGAAAAAATGTGGGTTTGGAGAGGTTTAAAAAGGGGGGGGGGGAACCCATCGAGAAAATAAAACGAACAAGAAATGGGTTTTATATACATACTTTTAAAAGCTGTTGTTTTTATAGTACAGCAGATTCATGAGATGATGAGAGAGATTTTAAACAACTCAAGTCCTTCGAGTGCCACCTCCAGTTTGTGTTGGCGGTGAAGATGATGATGATAATGATGTAGTGCTCAAAGTCTGATGAGATCACCCAACCGTGGGCCCCTTCAGAAACTTCGCCCCGTCTTGCCCGGACATCCAGAGAGACTCTGTGAGGGGAGAAGGTGGACATGGACATGGGGAGAGGGACAGTTAATTGAGGTCAATTAGGATTTTTAACAAAAAAAAAACCCCAAAGTGTTTGCAAAGGCTTTGCAAAGCCACAGCCTGCTCTGATCCACGCTGAGGGTGGATGCAGAGTGACAGGCTGGAATGCCAAGGTGTTCCCTGGACAGCCCTCCCAAGAGAGGGTATTATCTCATGTATTCCCTGCTCTCACTTTCCAGTTCCATCCCAGCTAAGCCTGGACTGGGGACCGGCTGGGCTTAGCTGAGGGATGGGCTGGTTTAGGGACAGTAAAAATGTGACTTGATACATGGGAAGGACAAAAACTGTTCCTCAGGCATCTGTTACGCCAGGAATTTACACAGCTTTGGTAAAATGAGTTCTCTCTAAAGTACTTCGAAGGTGACAACTCCTACCCGGGCACACTGTGGTGGCCAGGATTTATTTTATAACAGAGGTTTCAGCTTCCAATGCTCCGTCCCTGCTGGTGCTTAATGCTGAGATATATAATGTATAAAAGAGATATAAATATTAGGGACTGGTTCTGCAGGCAGCTGCTAGCAGGACTGGCTGTGGTGAGGACACTCCCTGGTCACAGATTTGGGATGACCTCCAAAACCCATTCCCAAACAGTCGTGCTCAGGGTGAGGTCCCACCAGAACCCCACAGGGATGTGGGAACTGATCCCTGCCCTGAGGACCTGCAGCTCAGCCAAATTCACCCCCTATGGCTGATTCCCACCCTGAGAACCCACAGCTCAGCCAAATTCAGCCCCTACAGCCCCATCCTGCTCCAGGGACGTGGGGACAGCCGGGGCAGGTGAGGGCCCGGCCGCTGCGGGAAGTGCCACAGCCACAAGGATCTCACACTCAGTGTTCCTTGAGGAATTAATAATAAGGCTCATTTCCTCCTCTCAAAATCTATTTTAATTAGTAATGAGCAACATTAAAAGCACTTTGTTTTTAAGTCGTTAATGGTTTGAGCCTTAACACCGGGCAGTAACTGATGGTTCCTGGGATGTGCTGTGGTGAGAGCCGAGCGATTACAGCCCATCAATCTGGTGACGGCGCCGTCACCGCGCGTTATTAGCCTGAGTTATGATGTTCTGCCCAGGCTCCAGTCGGCCTCGGGTACCACCTCGCTCTTCCAAGGGCTGACGGCCCAGAAAACGTGAAGGACTCTGACAAATTGATCGGCGAACAGACACCGATACGTGCAGGTAATAGCTGGGATTAAGCAAGACTGCTTATGGCACTTTCTCCTTTCCCATAAAAAATACTCCTTGCTGGAGCAAATCAATGTCAGGTAATCTTGGGGTGTGTGTGTGGAGATGGAGAGTAAACAGAAACCCCTTTTATCCACTAGTGTTTAGGTATAAATCTGTTTTTATGTAATTTAAAGCTTCCAACCATCCTCCAGTTCCCAGCCCCTTGACTAACTGTAATTCTGATTTTGTAGACTGATTTTTGAACGTAAAAAATGTGACAGTGATCAGGTAGTGCTGGGCAAGAGGCAGGGAAATAAAACCTGCAGTATCCATTCCATCTGCCTGCCAGGGCTCGGCGCTCTGCAGGTAAACCTGTGCCATTTAACTGGGATAACTTCTGTTTTCCACTGCATTTTCTAATCTATTCCATTCCGGGTGTTAAGAATATTTGTTTGCAAAGACGAATATGCCAAAGGCCAAATAATAATAAAAAATAAAAATTAAACATTTAATTAACTCGAGCTTAGTTCAAAGGGTAGGAAACTGGCAGTGATCCAGGGCCGTGGTGCTCAGGTAATGTCTTTAATTTAATTTGCTCAGGTTTAATTTTTTTTTAATCTTGATAATTGCTCTATGGTTACGACTTACAATGTTATCTTTTAGCTGTAATATTTGGTACAGCACTTAATTATGAATGATGGTTTCTCCATAGTAAAGCAGTGGGGCTCAGCTATTTTTAGACCAGTGCACTGGGAGCAGATCTCTGATCCCACTGCGACTGCTGGCTGCTGGCCCTGGGGTGATTCCCCACAGCTTTCTGGGTTTTCTGCAGGATTTCCTGCTTCTCAAATTATTGCACAAAGCATGATGAATATGAAAAAGTAACTTAGGGGGGGGTTAGCTCTGGATCTGTCTTCCAGTTTCCAACCTGTGAGGTTGATTTGAGTAACACAAATCACAGAAAGGAATGATTAAAGGCCAAGGAAAGACGAAATGAAGATAAAAAATTGTTCACTTAAAGTAAATATAAGGGAGATGGTAGTTCAGCACAAAGTACAAATGGGATATACTGTAATACCTCCAAGTGAGATGGCAACCAACCATGTGTAACGTTTCAATGGTATCCATTTGTAAAAGCCGTTGCAATCAAAGGTCCCTAAAATTGTACAATTGTTAAGTTCATCAGTGCTCTATACATGGGAACAGCTGATTATTAATTTTGCCAAGAAATTATCAAAGGACTTGAAAGACTGTGTTGCCAGCATGAATAGGGATTTCCAAGAGCTGTTCTGGTCACCAGGTGTGCTCAACTCTATGGTTACCTTTCCAAGACCATCATCTTCTCATTCCCCCAGGTGCAAAAATAAGCTTTGGGGTCTTCCCTTCTTTATTTTTAAACCAGGGTTAGTAAATGGAGAGTGTTAAATAAATGTATGTAAAAAAAGCTACGGGATTCTTTGCAGTTATTGGGGGAATTAAGAGGCTGCCAATCTGCAAGTTAATTATAAAATGGTTTGGGGGAGTTAGTGCAGACAAATCCGGATACCCAGGCTTGGACCTCGCATCCTATCACTTGAAAAATTGGGATATTGCTGAGGCCAAAGTGCCCAAGTTTTCAAGCACAAACAGGTCTTTCTCTTTAGGTGAAAAACAGAAACAAGAGGTGGTGTAAGTGGTGAGAGGTGGCAGTTTGAACTGATGTAGCTCCTAGAAGAGCAGTAATATTCCATGTTTGGTACTAGAACTGATCCACAGGGGTTGTCAAGTCCCCGGTGTAACCATGGGAGGGGCAGGATGGGAACTGAGCACAAGGGCACAAAGGGAGGCAGAGGGTTTGTTGGTCTTTTTTGGGTACCGGTTGCTTATGCAAAGGAAGTGACACAACTTCAGGAAGTTTGTCTGCACTACACTCCCACTCCCCCCATCCAATTCCATCAGGGACTTGAGTTCTCCACCCAGTTTGAGGAAACCTCAGGGGAGCCTCTGTACTTCCTCGTTGTACAAGAGGAAAAAACAAACAAAACCCCTCATAATTTTACTCCAAAAATGGCAAGAGCCTCCGATGCAGACGGAGTCTGGGCGAGTGCCCGCGGCGGCGGAGGCAGCCCCATTCATGCTCACACACAGTGACACAGCCACGTGCAGCCTGGTTAAGCCAATCTGTGCCCTCATTAGTGCGATCGCAGACCCAACGCGGCGTTAGGAGGCACCTCCCGGTGACCCGACGGTGGAGCAGAAGCCACTTGCTCATAACCTGCAGATCTGAGGGACTGTGAGTGATGCCATGACTGGCTGGAAGTGATTCCAGAGCTCAGCAAACAGGTGAAGGGCAGCAGGACACGGCCGTTCCCTCACCAGGGTGGCCGTGGCCAACCAGGGGGTCCCACCAGCTGAATTAATGAGCTGATTTAGGTGGGAGCAAGGGACTGCTGCTCTATCTGCCAGGAGGGGTGGCTGGGCTGATATAAAACCCATATGGATAAGCAGGAATTTAAATCCCGTAATTATTAAATATTCTCCCTTTGAGACGTGTCAGCTCTGGCTGCAGAAGGCTCCAGACGAGCGTTTACGCCAAGGGAGGTTCAGGTTGGATATCAGGAATAATTTCTTCACCAAAAGAGTGGTTAAGAACTGGAATGGGCTGCCCAGGGCAGTGGAGTCGTCCCCATCCCTGGAAGTGTGGCAATTTGTGACACAGCCTGGTTGACAAGGGGGCGATCGGTCAAAGGTTGGAACTGATGACCTTGGAGGTCTTTTCCAACCTTGATGATTCCGTGACTGACGATTCCGATGATTCCAGACTGGTAACTGGAGTGGTGGCTGGGCACAGCTCTCACAGGTTATGGCAGCAAGGCGCTGCGCTCGCCGTCAGGTCACCACCACCAAACCCCAAGAGAACCCCCTCCCAACACCGTCACCACCCCCCCTGCCCGGGCAGCGCGTCCCCGCCGGCGCGCGGTACTTACGGCGATCCCGTGTCCGAAGCCGGAGCCCGGCTGCGGGCTGGCGGCGCTTATGTAGTTACCCACGCCGGAGTCCTGGCTGGCCGTGCCGTAGAGATCCGCGACGGGCCCGGGGCTGTTGGCCCCGGGGAAGCCTCCGGGTCGTGCTGGGTTGGAGCCTGCCGGGGAAGCGGGTGCGCCAAAATTCGGTTGAGCACTGTAGCTATTCAAGACTGGTGTGCAGAGAATAAAGCTGGGTATGAGGCCAGACGCCGGGCATGCACCGGTATTACAAAGCCAAACACCAGAATAAACAGCCTAGGCCCAATTCTAACACTTAACCAAGGCCATGCGAGAGGAGAGCAAGTACTGGAGAAGAGTCAGCCCGGACTACTACGAAGCTTAGAGCTCCAAAAATATATATATGGATATATATAAAAAAAAAAAAAAGAACAATCATTCAACACACTACTGCAACCAGAGACTGGAGGTGCTCATTTTCACCAAATTATCACAAAATATAATAGGTATTTTTCAACATCTGACTTGATGCTCATGCAGTAGTAACAAGTTCTCTAGGTCTGGGCACGCCGAGACAGCATTCACATCCCATGCAAACTACAAAGGAACTAGTTTGAGACTACACATTGTGGTAATATTGATATTAAAATGTTGACAGCAAATAACTTCAATCACATCTAGGAAAATTGTTTTTTTGGATCCATTCGATACTTTTGGAAAAAACCCGCCCTTTTAGATCAGTAAGCTGTAGAAATAGTTCAATAGTTGATTTTTTTTCTTTAAATGGTATGGAATGGAACAGTTTGGATTTTTTTCTTTTAAATATGACCAAGGAGAGTGTTGTTTTATTTAATTTTTTTCCTTTTGATTTGGAGAGCGAAGACCTACCTTCGTCTCCAAAACCATGCTTGGGACATCAACCAAAATTAAACAAATAAATAAAGATCAAAAGCAAAAAATAATTCCAGAGGGTGGATGACAACTCACCTCCTAATGTGGAAGTAAAAGAAAATTTTATTTTTTTCCTCCCTTTATTTATTTTTTTTTTTTTTTTGAGAAAGAAAAACAATGTAAATAAGAATGACACTAAAGAAGAGATTTAGATATTAAAGCATGTTAGATGATCAGGCTTCTGGCATTTCTCACGGCTGCTCTTGGATGTAGAATTTATGAACAAGAAGTTTCAATGCGAAAGAAAAGTCAGCGGACGGGGAGGAGCTGGATGGAGATGGCTGCAGGAAGCTGGAGCTACACCTGGGTGGTACCTGCAAGGTCCCTCAGGAGCACACAGAACACGGTCCCCCCACACTCACCGGGGCCTCACGGTGTCCCCACTGCGGGCAGCCCCGAGACACGAACCACCAACGGGGCCCGAACCACTGGGTGCCCCCAGCAGGCACCCAATCCCATCACCTCCATCACCAGCCTTCCAGGCTGAACCAAGACTTCTTCAGCCTTTTCCTCTGGCTGCAACTTCCCACGATCTTCATTAAACACTACAACGGGTTATAAAGCCTGGCAGCCTGCACTGCCCCTCGCCCGCAGGTTTTCCTGGCCGTGGAAGCCAACCCGGGAGCAAGCCCTGTGCTCTGGCTTTGGCAGCACCACACATGGGCTGTGGTGGGCTCCGCCTGACCTGCTGTGGAGCCACCACCTGTCCTGCCCTGGGTCTCTTCCCCTGCATGGCCCGCCCAAGGGGTCCTCAGTTTTCAAAAGAATGAATTAACTGGTCAAAAAAAGGCCACCCCGCAGTTGGTGGTTCTGTGGTGACAGGAAAGTCAATTTTACAAAATAAATGATTCACTGCAGCTCTGAACTGGTAACAGGGGAGGGTAAGTAGGACATCTAAGCTAGCAAGTTAAAAGAAATAAGGCATCAGAGAGTAAACAGATTTTGGACTTTGCTGGCAAACAAAGTGCCTTTTTTATTATTAAAGATTAAATGTCAAGATAACATTTGGCCTTCTTACTCGTGAAGAAAAATATCCAGCTGAGATGTTCCAAAGCCCTTTATTACTAGAAGCCAGCACTTTTCCCTTTTTTCCTCCTTCTAGTTCAATAAAATGGATGTGAATTTTCCTGCCAAGTCACACAGAAAACCCAGTTGGCCAGTGTGAGTGACAGCAGGAGCACAGCGCTGGGACACGGCACAGAGAGGGGGATCCTGTTAGGAAAATACTCCTGTAAACCCCGTGGCAGCACCAGGGAAGGCCATCACCACCACTCTGGGGCATGGGCAGGGACAGACAGACATCTGTGGCATCCAGAGGGACAGGGCTGTGCCACTAACCCGTGCAGGGTGACAAGGGGCACACTTGTGTGTCCTGAAACCTTGAGAACAGCAAATGGAGACTGAGGAGCCAGATAGATGCTCTGACCCTCCACATCCCACCCTGGGCACTCTCATTTGCACCTCTAGGATTGGAAATATGGTTTTCATACCTGCAGGAAGACCTGGCACTGGGTTATTCAAAGTCCTGACTGCAGGTAGGTAACATAAGAAAAGGGTAATTTTTCCACCTACTGACCATGGGTTGAATGCTCCACACTGCTCACAGGAGTGCCCATGGAAAACAGGCATGGCAAAGGCTGTGCAGAGGCTGCCATGCCCTGGCACCGCTCCACGTGATGCCTGAAAAACTCTACAGAAAGGGCTGGAAGCTTTTCCAGAGCCAACACTTCACTCCAGATCCAATAAATGAAACAGAAAGCTCCCATAATTAGCAGGAGGCTCAGCACGCCTCAGGAAGCCACATTCTAACGATTTGCTCAGCCGTGGTTGGTTGCCAAGTATTTGTCTTCTTCCAAGAGCTCAGGTGAGCTCACATGGAGCAAGAGGCACCTTTACCATGGCTCAGAAACAACAGCAAAGGGGAGCTTGAACAACTTTCCCAACACACAAATCCTGATGCTTTCTTGTAAGAAATACCTGGAAACAAGTTTGTTTTACACAAACCGGGAACAATCTGAGACTTGAAGAAGAAAAAATGCCTGAAACCCTCCAGACTCCAGACACTGCTTCAGCAAGAAAAGTTAAGGTTTTTTGGAGATGTGTCATTACGAGAAAGTTGTGAGGAGGCAGAAGCTGTGCAAGTGCCATGGTTGCCGTGGGTTGTGGAATCACAGAGCACTAACACCAACTCCTTGCAGGCTGGAAGGAACTGGAGACTTTCCCCCAGCCACTGACAATTCATAGCAAGAACAGGATTCAAGGCAGACATCTGGAAGTTCACTGCTGAAGAACTGTCAGGGGACTGTGCTGCCCCAGGAGGGGAGGGAACCACTGACCATATCTTGATGCCAGTCAGTGTGGGCCTGACCTGCTGCCTGTCCCAGTAGAGGCACTGCCCAAGCTGAACACAAATCTCCAGACTTTGGTTTGCTGGGAGTACCCACCAGGTTGACTCAGCATTGCCTGGGGGCTGGCAGGGCCATCTCCTCCCCTCACAAGGACTGCCAGCACTCAGGAAATCCTGGCAAAAGACCCATTTCCAACACGCCCTGAAAGGTTCTGGTCCCATTTCCCAACCAATTGCACAGGAAGCCATCCTGCACCGGGCGACTGCACAGCTCTGAGGCTGTGGTTAAGTGCCTCCAGCTCAAAGGCTTCCTCTATGCATAATTTGCAATCCCAAGTGTCCCCTGGAAGCCCTGTGATAGATCAAGGTCAGCAGAGATGTGGAAAAGATTAGATGTGCCTGTAAGTCACAGCCAACCACCTTTTATCTTCAGCCCCAGTGATCCTCCATCCTCTGGGCTACAGAAGCTCCTTCCTACACTGATGGAGATCAAGGGCCAGCAGTCAGGAGCTGTGGCAGTGATGGGAACAGGGCAGTATAATGTCTTGCTCGCTTCACTTTGAATTTGCTGTGGTTTTCTTACAGAAAAGGCTCTGAGCCAGTGAATTTTGATCAGCAGGTGAACGTTTGCCTGCAGGCCAGAGGGACAGGCTTTGGGGAGCCTCGGGCTTATTCTGCCCAGTGTCATGGTGCCTCGGGGAGTGCTGAAAACCAGAGAGGGAAAGCAAGATGGGGCACAAAACATTATAAAAAAATGTAGGTTCATAAATCAGCCCCAGAAGAGGCGTTTTTTTAATGCGAAGTGTCGGCGCCGGTGGAGTTGGGAGCTGCTGTGCAGGGCTGGCACAGCAAGAGCTGCATCTCTTCAGGCAGCAGGCTGCTTTATTACAGACTCCTCCTGGCGTCCTTCATGGGGGTGTCTTTATCCCCATCTAACACGTGTGTAAGATGATTTTCGGTGTTCAGGCAACAAGTGATTTATGTCAAGGAGCCAAGAGCTGGAACCCCAAACAGCCTGGCAGGGGCAGGAGGCTCAGGGCTGGGACGTGCATCCAGTGCCCGCTCCTGCAAACAGCCATGTTAACACAGACCCTGCTCACACGTTAATCCGTGTTCAACAAGAAAGGTCATCACTGAAAGATAAACTCTCTCTCGATGAACTCTTGAGAAATTGCAAAGTCAGGGTTCCTGCTGACATTTGCCTTACAAGGGCCATGTTACACTAACGAGGATCCCAACGCCATGGGGGTGGGGAGGGCAGCCGGGTAAAGCACAAGAAGCTGGATGCTGGAATCCCACCCAAATAAACTCAGCACCAATGATGAAGGGAAAGAGGGAAGGGAAAGGAGAAGAAACGTGAGGATTTTGACATTACTGTCCTACAATGGTACCAGGCTGACAGTCAGGCCCTTAGGGACTAGTAAATGAGACCTGATGACAAATAAACAGTTTTAAGCACCACTAAAATAAGCTGTAGTTCAAAGGAAACAAACCAGGGGAGATGAGGACAGAGTAGTAAGACAGACACTGCCTGGGGATCACTGTCCCCTGCACGCAGCCCACCCGGAGCCTTTGGTGGCACTTTCCTCTCCTACAGCACCAAAACGCAAAGATTTAAACACCATTATGGGGGGGTAATAACAAATATGAGTATTTCAAAAGTTAGGAAAACAGAAAAGGTGAGGAAGGGTGCAGAATGTGGTTGGAGAAATGTGTGGCTGCCTTCCCTGCCACGGTGCACAGGCAAGGAAATCCTCATGTGTGAAAGAAACCACTACGATTTACTGGATTTCCTCTCTGAGCAGAGGCAGGATATTCAGGATGAGATATAGCACCCTGTTACCACAGCCAGAAATATGTTTTGCACTTGAGAAAGGACCTGAGAGCAGAACAGAGCCAGCTGGAACCGCCCCA